AATATTCACTCTTTTGGTAAGGACTTTTTTCATAAGTTCTCCAGACTGAAGTTTCCCAAGGTCAGTCTTTACTACTCTTTCTTAGATTTATTTAGTCATTTGGTAATCCCTATGCTTGGGTGGGTAGAGGGACAGTGCAAGAGAGAAAGATTCCAGATGAGATGGATTGATTGAGATGGAAATGAGGGTACTTGTATCAGACACAATGAGATTGACACAGGACAGAGCAGAGTTTAGGGCTGTTGCACATAGGGTTGCTATGAGTCACAGGTGATTGGATGGCACATAACAACAACCAGCAATAACTCTGATGACTTTTAATACCATCTATATAAGAAAAAAAATTATAGCTTATATAATACAGCTACCTGGATGTCTAATAGCCATCTCAAAATTAGTTCATGCACTACCTTTCCCTATGACACAGTTCCATTTATGTCTTTAGCCCATTTGTTAATGAAAATTTTATTTGCTCAGGGCAAAAAAAGAAAACCCTAACACTGAGTTATCCTGTATTCCTCTTTTTTCTCCCACTCTATTTTATACACTATTAATTCTTCAAAATATGTCCAAAATTTGACCACTTATCAATGACCTTACTAATATCACTGCTGTCTTGTCCACTCTCACATTTATCTTGGATTACCACAATAACTTCCTAATAAAAACAACAAGAAAGAAGAAGTTCATTGCTTTTCAATCAGTTGCAACTTGTAGTAACTCTTAGGTTTATGAGACTATAATTGTAAATGGAGTAGATTTCATCATCTTTCAATTGTGGAATGGCTGGTGGACCCAAACCAGTAACCTTTTAGCTAGATATCTAACATGTAACACATTCTACCACTAGGGCTCCTTATCCTCCCACCTAGGGCTCCTCACCTTCCTGTTTTTATCAGTTATGAGGTGCCATTGCGCAGACTCTAGATGCCTAGTGACCTTCTGTATAACAGAATAAAACCTTACCCTATTCTGTGCTATCCTCAAAATCTTCCTGTGGCCATCGTTGCAGTCACTTTGTCAGTGCATCTTTCTAGTAGTTAGTTATTCCTCAAAAATGACAATTTATCTTTAAGTCTTTTCTCACTCACATTTGCCCTTAAGGAAAAGAATTTCAAAGAAAATAAAACTTTTTTTTTCATTTTGCTAAGGGAATATTAAAAAGCATAAAAGAACAAGCAGAGAAAACACAAATATTTGTTAGTAGAGGTTTTTTTATCTAAGAAATTTGAGGGAAATTAAAGGGTTACACAAAGAGAAAAAAACTTTTGAAAAGTATCTGAAGACAAGAAAGGAGTAATTTTCAATTGTGAATAAGTTGTAGAAGAAGGAACTGGATTATTACATGAAAAATCCCTTCACTCTAACTTCTGCTGAAATCCAAGACGCTCCTCCTTCGGCATAGCGTTCACAGTTTCTATCTACTCTCAGGACCATCTCAAAGATTGTTTCCATCAGCTTCAGGTCTTTCCTGAATTGAGGAGTATGCATAAGAACTATTCTTGTTTGTTTGTTTTGTTTTTAATTTATTTTTTTATTTTTTCTACTAGGTTATTTGAAAAATTCAAATAGAAATTTGAACAATTCTTTTTTTAACAAAACTTAAGTTGGCAATAAACTTGTCCTCAATTTTTGCTCCCTGAATTGAATGCCCTAATAACAAAAAAGATGTAAGAAAGCAAGCAAGAAAGCAAACAAATGTAGAATCTGTTTCCATGTCTTTTATATCAATATAATTTTTCATTCTCTAGCAACAGCTATAAGCCAAACAACAGGATTAAATCAATATGAATTAGTCCGGCCAAAAAAACTACACATTTTGCACAGAAGAGAAATAAAGAACAACCAAGCAGAGAATGATGACAAAGAGGTAAGCACTGTGAAGATTGCAGTCCACTTTACAATCATCCAAAGAGACAAGACAGTCTTTTCTATTATAGAAGTGATCTCACATTCAACATTTAATAATTTAATCTTGGAGCTGAACTATACAATTCCCCTTTGTCAGGAAACATCACAACACTTCTCAGAATGCCATTACAGTTAAGTAAAAGGGAGAGAGTTACCACTTATATTTGAACCTAAAGAGCAAAGCTACAATTTTCCAAGTTTGTTATGGGGAAAAAAAGAAAAGAAAAAGAGAGCAGGAGTGGGTTGGAGAAGCACAGAAAAGTCAATTGTTTCTAGAAAGAGATGCTATTTCCTGTTAAGCTCATCAAACCTCTGTATCTTCTCCCTCTTACAACCCATACCCGTGGATTGACTTTTCTTCTTATTTTTAGGAACAATATGAACCTGAAGTTCAGTATCAGATAATGCTAAATGGAGAAGAAATTACTCTTCATCTTCAAAAAACCAAGTAAGTCATACATCCCATTACCCTAATCATTCCCTTGGTGAAAAGAAATTGAAAAAAAAGAAATAACTCCAGTAGAGTGTAAAGGACACATTAAAAAGATCAAATTTTGGCTATTATTAGTTTGCACTTATGTTATTTAAGATATCCAATCCTCTCCTAAGAAAATATGTGCGAAGTACAAAACAGAGAACTCCGCATAGAAATATCTTTCCTCCTAAAGCAAATTTTGTAATTGTCTTCTACACTCAAAAATACCTGAAATTTTGATGTGACTTTATTTATATAAAAATATGTGGCCAAGTTATACTGAGGCTGCAGAGGCCTGAAGTGTTATTGCAGAGCCAGGCTCTATTACCCCTTGTGGTAGTCAGTAAAGTACTCTCTGAATTTAGTTGTCCTTCATGCGTATTTGTGAGCCAATGCTCATTTATTGATTCTGTGGAGGATCCAAAAATGAATAATTTGAAATTTGCTTCAATATAGAGTTAAACTCTTGACAGAAGAGCAAAAGTAGATGATAGATACTTTTGTTCTTTTTATGCTAAAGATTAGATCAGAAAAATCAGCTTTTATTATTATTATTACCAATTAGAATGTGTCATGACACTTCCTCTTTCTGCAGGCACCTGCTAGGATCAGAGTACACTGAGACATATTACTTACCTGAAGGAGAGGAGGTCACAACACAGCCCCAAAACATGGTAGGGTAAGCTTTCTTAGAATCTGTCTTGAATCTTCCTCTTATTTTACAAGTCCTGTATATAACTTAAAAATCAAAAGGATATGAAAATAGAGAGGTAATCTGTAACAAGTGAGATAGCAGATGAAAACATGATGAACTTTTAAAAGTAGGAGAAATAGAAGGCTTACAAAGAATCAAAAGCCACTTGCTTCTGGATAATTTGATTTATAGATTGGAAGTACCATCCTCAATGCTGTTGTTATGTGCTGTTAAATCAGAGTCAACTAATAACTGACCTTCCAGTGGGTTTTCAGACGCTATAAACCATATGGGAGGGGATTTTTCACCCTCCTGCACAGTAGCTGGTGAGCTCCAGCTTCCTGTCTGTGTACTGGTGGCATAACTTCTTGCTACTAAACCACCAGACCATCCTCAATAAATACCACTATTTCACTATTTAATCATCTGAAGATGAAGCTATATAACTTTATGGGGAGATCAGTTATTTAGAATAGCAGTTATTTAATATCCTTTATATCTAATTAAGTTATATTCTATAAAATATGTCAGGACTTTGATGATAGATATGGCATGGAATGGTATTTAAATTATAGTTAAAGAGAGAACAGGAAGAAAAACAGTTGTCTCAATAATGGGGTGCTCCTGCACTAAAACATTTTCTGTGGTACCCCAAGTATGCACACCTCTATGAAGACTAAGACTTCTAAGACAAAACACCCTTGTCATCCTTTCTTGCTTCAAAATTCTCATTTCATGATGGTAAATCCATTTTTAAGGTTTAACAGTTGATCATTCATTAATCTAGTGTCCAAGTGGTAAGGAATTGTGCAGTCAACCCAAAGGCGCACAGTTCTAAGTCCATCAGTTTCTTGATGGGAGAAAGATGATGGGAGAAAGATGGGCAATCACCTTGGGTGTGGTTTTTAGCTTCTAAAAGCCTTATGGGGGCCAGTGGTCAGTTATAAATCAATTCCATCTTGATGGCACATAACAACAGGAGCTGTAGATGGGCACTTTGGATTTTTTACACTGGTAAAAAGATTCTTCAAATAGATGGACTAAAATGGTGCAGTGACCAGTTAAGATGAGGAGCTCAAGAACGTTAAGCAGAACCTCTTGAAAATTTCAGGTTGTGTGTTTTTTTTGTTTTTTGTTTTTTGTTTCCAAAAATGGTTGCCTCATTTTGTTAAGATGTGATGCACAGTGTTATTGAGATTCAACAATATTAAAACCATGTATTTGGTTTGATTGTGATTGACTGTGAGCACATAGAGGAGTAGAACTGTCACATAGCATTCCCTAGCCCGTAATGACTGCTAATGAAGTTAAAATCACTATGCTGGGGAGTTCAAACTGCCAACATTTCCATTAACTATGAGTGCTTAATACTGAGCGAGCCCTAAAATGCAGGACTTGTGTGAGAGTCGGCACTGGGGCACTAAATTCCTAATAAAACCACCACCAAAACTGAGAGCCCACAAGGAACACTGGAAATCCCAAGGGGATGGACTACTTCTCAGCTGCAGCCTCCGCTTCAACTTGGAGTTTCTTTATTTCATTTTCCCTTACTGTAAGTTAACTCAACCACCGACACATGGAGAGTCTCCTAGGACAGCCTGTGGAGCAAGGCAGAAAACATTGAGGTTCTTGTTTGTTTTTACTTCAGGAAACTGGTGTGAACAGTCACTCTTTGCAGAACTTTGCTTAACATTACAGATAGCAGCTTTTACCTCAAGTGTGATATGTAAATAACATTAATAAAGAATCCAAAGCATTATTTTTTTCTCTGCCTCCAGGAACACTGCTTCTATCAAGGACAGATCGAAAATGAAAAGGATTCTCTTGCCAGCATTAGTACTTGTGAAGGGTTGAGGTGAGAGCAGTCCTCACAAATGTTAAACATCAAGTATCATTTTTTTTAAAAAAAAATTCTTATTAATTAATTTTAATGAAAGTTTACAGAGACTTTGGATTTCCATTGCACACTTTCCTCCCTGCCCACCCCCGCCCCTGTTCACTTTTTTCTTTGAAAAGTAAAAAAAAAATTAAAAAAATTCTTTCATTGTTATACACACACCACCCACACCCCGGCCCCCAATCCACTCCACTACGCAGCTTTCATTTCGAACTTTTGTCACGCCAATAATACCTAATCCTATATACCTTTTAAACAGTTCTCTCCCTCATCTGTTTCAATGTAGTATACATTATTTATCACCTCTTTTCTTAGATTTTCCCCAACTCCAATATCAGTCCCACTTTACAACAATGGCATTAGGCAGTATTTGTCCTTCTATCATTTTTTTTTTGTCAATATTTTTGTCAGTATTTGTCAAATATCATTTTAAAACACATGAAGTCTTCTGGATATTTTCTTTTCTCACTATTTTGTAAATTGTGACAATCACGAAAATGTCAAATATATGTGGCTAATATATCATTACACTCGTTTCATAGTCTGCTGTCCCAGAGGAGGCCCCAGCCATTGCAAACAACAGGGCTAGCCTCCACACCTCAAGTACACCAGGTCACCAGCATCCTTTCTCTGTTTGCCATTCATTCCCGAAACCACATGCTCTATGTTTCTAAAGAGTCTACCCTGCAATGTTCACAGATGAACTAAATTTATGTGGATATGTATATTTGTGATTATATGCATAGCTCTGTTTACAAAAAGAATCCTTGATGTTGAAGAAATTTCAGAAAATAATAAAGAGCACAAATAAGGAAACACTCCACATTTTTCCCCCCTGAATGGTCACTATTGTTAATATTTTGTCATTATTTCAGGCTTTAATGTGTATCAATAAAGAAATTTTGCATAATTAAAATACAAAAGTGAAATGTGTATAATTTTTATTTTAGCATGATTCTTTAGCAAGAAACAGAAGTTTATTTTAGCGTGGCATTTTTAGCAAGAAATATAATATCATAAACTTTCTTTCATGTCATGATATGCCTTCAGATTGTAATATTTAATTAATATTTTGTCCTAAAATGTTCACGTCTTTTTATATTTCTGCACTAATGATAAAACCTGGAAGAGGGATTCTTCAAGCTACTATTTGTAATCATTTATTTGCTGATCTACTAGGCACTTTCTCCTTTGATGTCTTTAGTATCTATTGTTGCTGTGTTCCACTGAGTCAGAATCAACTCACAGCTGGCTCTCCAGTGGGTTTTCAGAGACTGTCAATCACCTGGGAGAAAATGACCATGTTACCACTGGGCTTGGCAGCACAACTCCACTAGAGCTCACTCAGTATCTAAAATGTTCCCTATTCTATACCAAGATATATTGGTTCAATGAATAGACTATGGGAAACTATTTGCTAAGCTCATAAAGTCAAAAAGCCTTTAATATATGCTTATTTTTAGTGACTCTTGTTCATAATTATCTTGGCTAATAGATTTCAGTTTGCTATACTCACTATGAAGTGGATTGATTCAGTTACTGGGGTAGTTGGGGAAGGTGTGTCAGAGACAGTGAGATTGGCACAGGATAGAGTAGGGTTTAGGGCTGTTGTACATGGGATTGTTATGAGTCGCAGGTGACTCAAAGGCACATAGTAACAACTCTATAGTTACAGTAACATAAATTAGCTGAAAGATCTGTGAATTAAAACTATGTGAGAGAGTGAGATGGGGAGAGAATATCATCCTCATCCATTTAGTTTACTCTCAATGGTAGGGAGCCCTGATACTGAAAATCTGTATGTCTTACAGGGGATACTTCACATACGGTGGTCAGAAATATCTGATAAAGCCTCTAAAAAGCACAGACCAGGAAGAACATGCTGTCCTAATAGATAACCAGGAGGAGCTTGACCCTGATAACCACACTTGTGGTGTGAAAAACGTTGGAAGGAAACAAGCCCTGATCCGAACTTCCAGATCACTCAGTAGCTCAGAAGTAAGTAGAGTTTTTTTTTTTTAAATCCTCATTTCGCCCAGTCTTCTCATCAATAACAATGGCGTGCTGATATACTCAGCAATGACCAATGTATGAGAAGTCAGTATGTACTTTAATTCCATTTTCCTCCAAAGGAGACAGAAATCTTTGTAAGCCAGTTGAATCTTCGAGGTGAAAATAAGTATTAACACTGTTCTTTTACTCTTTATAAATCAGGAAAACTTTCTTCATGGTGAGAAATACATTGATCTCTTTTTGGTGCTGGACAATGCCTTTGTGAGTATAAAATAGGTGTGCTCTAAAACCATTATAATAACTCAGTTTACTTATCCAAACTAGGCAAGTGACTTGTTTTAGTGAACAATGAAGTACTTAGCCATCTGGTAGTTTTGAGGGTTCTACTTTTCTTGCCAGTAATATTTTTATCCTATTCACCCTATCCATCAATTATAAAGATATTCGAGGGAGCTCTGATGGGCTAGTAGGTAAGAAGCTAAACTGTCAATTCAACAGCAGGAGATTTTCTAATCTACCAGCTTCTCAGCAGGAAAAAGATGGACCATTTCATCCCATGCAATTTACTAAACGCTGGAGGGCCAGCTATAAGTAAAATTTTACTTAATGACACATAATAACAACAATCAAAATATTAATATATTTCATATATACCTGTTTTGTTGTATACCATCAGATTAGAACTGTCTGATAGCTCACGTGCCAGTATGTTTTCAAAAAGCAGTCAATCGCAAGGGAGGAGACGGCCCATCTTCTGCTGAGCAGCTGGTAGATTCAAATCAAATCCCTTTGGACTGACAGCACAACTCCTTACCACTAAGGCACCAGAACTTCCTAATATGCGCGCCCGCACATGCGCGCGCGTGCACACACACACACACACACACACACACACACACACACACATCTATCTCATGAGAGGGTTACAGGAACTCAGCCACAATACGAGTTGGGTATGGCACTTTATAAGGATCCCTTCTAGGGATCTTCTGAACAATAGATCTGAATCCTGCCCTATCCTTTGCCATCCTCATCATGCAGACACCCTTAAACCCATTGCTACAGTCACTGCGTCCATCCATCTTGATAAAGAGCTTCCTCTCTTTTTTCTAACCCTTCACCTTTCCTGGCACAATGGCCCTCTCAAAGGAATAGCCTCTTACCACAACATGCCCAAAGTATGCGAGTCGGAGGTTCACCATCCTCATCTCCAAGGAGCACTCTGACTGCTCCTTTTCCAAGACCTATCTGTAGTAAAATGCAAAACGCTCAGCATGATATGCAAACTCAAGCAAAAAACTATAAAAATCTTACAAAATTTGTTTACTTCTATAAAGCCAATACTTAACTCAGTGTTGCTACCTTTTAAAAAACGTTGATTTTATAATCAAACATTAATAATATAGAATTTTTAAAATTTAATGTGCTTTATTCAACTTGAAGTTGAAAAATATTAAAATTTTATAGACCACTTTTTTATTTACTGGGAAAATCTGTTATACCTGAAATATTTATTGAAATATAGAGTGTTACATAAGTACAGTATTGTAATGAATAGATTATTAATTATATTAATAGATGTGTCATTTAAAAAATGTAAAATCTTGTGCTATGTCAGTTTTCTCTGATATAAAATTTTAATTTTATATTCTAACTATCCTTTTTGTCTTTTTACAGTATAAGCTGTATAACAGGAATACAACTTATATTAGAAGCTTTGTGTTTGGTGTGGTAAATCTACTCAATGTGGTAAGATAACTTCCATGCAGATATTTGTTTCCATATGATAGTCTTGGACTTCCCTATGCTTTTAATTGATAAAGGGTTGAATTAACCCATCAGTTGTAGGAGATTTCACAGGGAAAAGATTAACAGCAAAGTAAAAATCACATATATGGTAGAATAGACAACTTTTAAGATTTCCTTTGTTTTCCCCCCCATAAGATTGACTTATCCATCTCTTGTGATCATGAAAGGGAGCTCTGTTGGCTTAGTGGTATGGAACTGCATTGCCAACCCAGAGATACATGGTTTGAATCTGCTAGCTATTCCATAGAAGAAAATGGGAAATCACCACTCATGTTACACCACTCTAAAAAACCCATTGGAGTGTCCACTATGGGTTGGTTTCAATTCATAACATAACATCAGTGTGATCATGAGAGATACCCCAATGTTACAATAGTTGAGCACACAACTAACTTAAAGAACAGCAGTTTAAACTCATTAGTTGCTTCATTGGAGAAACATATGATAATCTGCTTTCATAAAGATTAAACCTTAGGAGCATTCTAATCTGTTCTCTAGTGTTCTTATGAGCTGTAATCAACTCAGGAGCAATGGGGTTTGTGGTCAACAAAAGATGTAACACTAGTTACACAATTTGGCAGGAATAAACAAAAGAAATGGGAAAGATCTTGTGAGAACCTGAAATGATGGGCATAGTTCAATGTTGATTAATTTTATAAAACATAATGTACGGGTTGCCTTAAAAATATCCACATTGTATGGAACTTATTGTGCGAAATATAATGTCAATAATGGAAAAGTATGAAATGCAATGTATACAAATTTTGTAAACAAAATGTATAATTCTAAAGATATCCCAATCTTGAACATTTTATAAGACAATTTGTTCCTTTTACAGATTTATAACACCATAGACATTAAAGTGGCTTTAGTAGGCATGGAAATCTGGTCCGAAGGTGACAAGATAAAAGTGGTACCCAACGCAGGAGTGACCTTTAACAATTTCCTGAATTGGCATCGTTCTAATCTGACAAACGGTAGGATCCACGACCATGCTCAGCTCCTCAGGTGAGCACTTGCTTTTTCGTGCCAGACGTGCTTAGGCAGGGTACATGGTTATGCTCAAGTTTTCTTGGCAGAGATTTCTGTTCAGTTGTAGATTCTCTGTCAGTTTTCAGAGTACCTGAAGGTCTACTGTTAACAATTCACTTAAGAGATTATGGAAGGCATGTGTCAGATTAAAAAAAAAGTGAAGTTAGATGTCGGTTCATAATCTGTACTCATTATAATGCTGTAGGACAGGACAAACTTTTCAAGGGGATAATGAAAAATTAAAGTAACAGAGGAGATCTGTAGCATAACTGATGGGTTGGAAGATTCAAATTGTGACTTTCTCTCTAACTTCTGTGCAGTGGAATTGGCTTCAGCCATCGACTTGCTGGAATGGTGGCCTCTAATTCCTTGTGTTCTCCATCTTCAGTTGCTGTTATTGAGGTTTGTAAACATATATTGAGGTTCCCTGTGGCTCCATTCTTCTACAAAGACTAACATAATGACTTTTACACAGCTAGTACAGGAATATTTGTTTAATAGATAGAAGAAAGTAAATATAAAACTACCGGTGTATCTTTGCATGAAATATTCTTTGAATTCTGAAACATTTCTTTATTCAGGCCCTTGCAGAAAACTTACTATTTAATTGGTATTTGGAAATATAAGCAGGAACACTAGGATAGAATGGGAATGCAAGTGTCCTTTGCCCTCTGGGAAAAAACAAAACTGGTCCCTATGTTGAGGGCCAGAGTTCAGAAGCATCACTAAGGTGCCTGCAGATATTCTATAACCAGATATTACAAATGTTGTAGGCAGAATAGCAATACTTTTTATTCCCTAGGAGTGGTATCCACTTCCTAAACAACATGCTCTGGAAACTCTATGAACTTTGATAAATGTCAACAGTTGTAGAGGAGGCCTTTTGTTCATAGGGTTGCTATGAGTCATGGAAGGCAATCAGCAACAACAAGTCTATAATATGTTAGTTTTAATTATTTTGTATGTGGAGTATAAATAAACTATCAATTATTATATCAAGAAGTTATGTTAAAAAGTCAGTAATTACATTTTCAGGATCCAATAATTTCAAATGTCCATCCAATAATTTACAATCAGTAAGGACATAGAGCTGTGGTGCTGGAGGAGAGTATTAAGGGTACCATGGACTGCTAGGGAAACAAACAGATTCATCCTGGAAAGGGTCAAACTGGGCTGCTCCTTGGAAGAAAGGATTCTGAGGCTCTGTCTAACATACTACAGACATGTTGCAAGAAGGGACAGGTCCTTGGAGTGGGACATCATGCTTGGTAGGGTGGAGGGACAGTGTAGAAGGGGAAGGCCCTCTATGAGGTGGATTGATTCAGTGACTGGGATAATTGGGATGGGAGTGTTCAGAGACAGTGCGATTGGCACAGGACAGAGCGGAGTTTAGGGCTGTTGTACATAGGGTCGCTATGAGTCACAAACGACTCGACACACATAACAACAACAACAATGACACAGGAAGGCATTTAGAGATCCACTATCATTCATCTCTCCGTTATATTTTCTTTTTAACTCTTCAATTGTGACAACAAATAAAATATAACTGATTGATATGAGAAGTAATAAAGCCTTCTTTTTTTTCCAGGGGGTAAGGAAGAATGATGTGGCTCTTGTTGCTGTTATGGCACATGAGTTGGGTCACGCTCTCGGTATGCCCGATGTTCCATATTACACCAAATGCCCCTCTGGGAGTTGTGTGATGAATCAATATCTGAGGTGAGACTTTCTAGTTCAGAGAAAGTAAAGCTATCAGAACCTTAAGGAATTCAGATGTAACCTACATATGTCAGCTAGCTATTTTTTACAGAGGGGTCTTTGTCTTATTAGTTTACTGGCTTGCTATTTAAACCCTGTCTTCAAGAATCTAGCCATCAGAAAAGGATTGTAACTATGAAAAACATAGTAACATATTTTTAAAAATATGAATATAATTAAGACATATAACTTTGTCTCCATCAATCAACCTATTTGTATATTTATTAATTGCCTATTGTTGCCAGGCAGCTTGCAAAGACAAGATTTTGTTGTTGTTCTTGTTGTTGTTGTTATGTGCTGTCGAGTTACTTGCAACTCATAGTGACCCTATTTACAATAGTCCTAAATTCTGCTCTATCCCTTGCCAATCTTACTATCTTCGACATGCCTATCCCCATTACGCCAGTGATGGAATCAATACATCTCATTGAGGGTCCTGCTCTCCTCTTCTGTCCTTCCACCCTCCCAAGCATGATGTCCCTCTCCAATGACTGATACTGCCTTGCAACGTGTCCAAAGTATGTCAAGTGAAGCTTCAGAATCCTTGCCTCCAAGGAACAGCCTGGTTTCACCCTTTCCAGGATTAACTTGCTTGTTCTCCTAGAAGTCCATGGTATAGTCAATACTGTTCTCCAGCATCACAGCTCAAAAGCATCAATTCTTCTTCTATCTCCCTACTCATTGTCCAACTCTCTCACGCATAACAAATTATTGCAAAGACCATGGCCTGTATCAGGCACACCTTAGTCTCCATATTGACTTCATTGCTCCTAACTTCCTTGGAGAGGTCTGACAGGACACTTTGCCAATGCAATGAATCTTTTAATTTCCTAGCTATTGGTACCAAGACTGCTGATTGTAGAGCCAAGCAAACTGAAGTGATCAACAATCTCAATATCTTCATCATCAATCATGATGTTACCAATCAGTCCAAAAAATAATATCACTGCATTTCCCTTAAAGTATGGAACTCTAGTTGCATACCCCATAGCATTGTGTACTGTTAACCAAAAGACCACATATTACCAATGGTTCTTATTCATCAACTGATCTGCAGAAAAAAAATGGGCAGTCTCCTCCCATTAAGATTTACAGCCTTGGAATCCCAGTAGAAAGTCACAAGATGTTTGAATTGGCTCAGTCACAGTGAGGACATTTTTGTTTGTTTTTGAGTCCTGAAAGTATTCACAATTTGAAAAATAAGAAGATTCAAAAAACCAATAAGCCTGCAATTATTTCCCCCCACTGGTCATGTAATCTCTTATTTCTTATCCCTCAGTGATGAGGCATATAGAAGATAACAAATGTTGAGGATCATTATTACTGTCTTATAGGACAGTACTGAATAGACAAGGGAAATGAAATTCTTCCAACTGTACAAATGTACAATGAGATGTCTAGGAATCACATTCCAGCAAACATCATCATATACCTGTTTGATTGTCCTTTACAAAGAATAAAGTACAACCCTAAATAGATAACAAAATTTGCATTTCTATTCAACCAAGTAGGACAGTTAGAGAAGTCTTACTCATGCTTTCATTTCTAATCTTAAATCCATAGCACTCTATCTCATGTTATTTCTATTTTATTTTTTTTCTGAGCACAGTTCAAAGTTTCCAAAGGATTTCAGCAAAACCTGCCGTTCAAGTTTTGAAAAATACCTTTTATCCCAAAAACCTAAGTGCATTTTGCAAGCACCAATTTCTAAAAATATAATTACAATACCAAAGTGTGGGAACAAACTTCTGGAAGTGGGAGAAGACTGTGATTGTGGCTCTCCAAAGGTATGAATATGTTTTGTATAATGTACTCATTAGAGACTTACTAGAGCATAAGAATCATGTAGTTTTGCGTTGAAACTCCCCTTACTAATTTTTCTCTTAAAAATTACTTCAAAAGGTAAGCTGAGTGTTGTTGTTGTTGTTGTTATGTGTGGTCGAGTCCCTTGAGACTCAAAGCGACCCTATGTACAACAGCCCTAAATTCTGTACTGTCCTGTGCCAATCTCATTGTCTCTGACACACTCAAACCGATTATCCCAGTCACCAAATCAATCCACCTCTTAGAGGGCCTTCCCCTCCTGCACCTGCCCTCCACTCTCCCAAGCATGATGTCCTTCTCCAAGGATGGGTCTCTCCTTACAACATGACCAAAATATGTCAGACAAAGCCCCAGAATCCTTGCCTCCAAGGAGCAGCCCGGTTTAACCCTCTCCTGGATGAATCTGTTTGATTTCTTAGCAGTCCATGGTACCCTCAATACTTTTCTCCAACACCAAAGCGAAAAGGCATCATTTCTCCTTCTATCCTCCCTAATCACTAGTCATTGTCCAACTCTCTGACGCATAACAAGTGATTGCAAAGATCATGGCCTGTATCAGACACACCTTAGTCTCCAGAGACACACCTTTGCTATTCAGTGCTTTAGAGAGGTCCCTAACAGCAGACTTTACCATTTCAATACGTCTTTTAAATTCCTGGCTGCTGGTACCAAGAGTGTTGATTGTGGAGCCAAGCAGACAAAAGTTGTGAACAATCTCAGTCTCTTCACCATCCATCCTGATGCTGCAATTGGTCCAGTGGTGAGCCTCAATCCATATTGGAAGCTGCAGTCGTTGAACTTCTGCAGCAAGCCCTTCCGGTCCTCCTCAGTTTCCGCAAGAAGGGTTGTGTCATCTGCATAACGCAGATGTAGATAGATCTTCCACCAATCCTGATGCCACATTTCTCCTCATAGAGCCTAGCCTCCCGGAAAATCTGTTCTGCATACAGGTTGAAAAGGTATGGAGACAACACATCCCTGGTGTATGCCCATCCTAATTTTGAACCATGCAGTGTTTCGTTGCTCTGTTCTGAGGACTGCCTCTTGATCCAAGGACAGGTTTTGCACTAGCATGAACAAGTGTTCTGGGATTCCCATTCTTCTCAGAGTCAACAACAGTTTGTTATGGTCCACGCAGTCAAACGCCTTTGCATAATCAATGAAACACAGATATAAATTCCTCTGGTACTCCCCGCTTTCAGCCAAGGTCCATGTAACATCAGCTACAATGTCCCTAGTACCATGACCCCTTCTAAACCCAGCCTGGACTTCTGACAGTTCTCTGCTGATGTGCTATTCCAGTCATTTTTGGATAATCTTCAGTAGAATCTTGCTTGTATGTGAAATCAATGATATTATTTTATAGTTTCCACACTCTGTTGGGTCACCCTTCTTTGGGATGGGAACAAATATCTTCCAGTAAGTTGGCCAAATGGTTGTTCTTCAGATTTCTTGGCACAACTTGGTGAGTATATCCAGGGCGTCATCTGTTAGCTGAAATATGTCAATTGGTATACCATCTATTCCTGGGGCCTTGTTTTTTGCTATTTCCTTCAAAGCGGCTTGAACTTCTTCCTTCATCACCATAGGCTCTTGCTCATATGTTGTTTCATTAAATTCTTCTGTGTCTGATAAGTGCTTTTGGTACAGTGACTCAGTATATTCTTTCCATCTTCTTTTACTACTTCCTGGATCATTTAATATTCTGCCTAAAGCGTCCTTGATTGTAGCAACCCGAGGTTTGAATTTGTTCTTCAGTTCCTTGAGCTTAAGAAATGCTGAGCGAGTTTGGCCCTTTTGATTTTCTGACTCTAGCTTCTTGCACATTTCATTGTAATATATTACTTTGTCATCCCGAGCTGCCTTTTGAAATCTTCTATTCAACTCTTTAGTATCTTGAATTCTTCCTTGTGCTTTGGCTTCTCTGTGCTCTAGTGCAATCTTCAGAGTTTCTTCTGACATCATTCTGGTCTTTTCTTCCTCTTCTGTCTTTGTAATGAACGTTTGCACTCTTCTTGAATGATACCGTTGATATCCTTCCACAACTCATCTGGTCTTCACTCATTCGTGTTCAAGGCCTCAAACCTGTTCCTGAAATGATTCTGAAATTCAGGTGGGATAGATTCAAAGTTATATTTTGGTTCTCATGGACTCAGTTTACTTTTTCTCAGTTTCAGCTTGAACTTGCATATGAGTAGTTGATGGTCTGTTCCACAATCAGCTCCTGGCTTAGTTTTCACAGCTGATATTGAGCTTATCTAGCAGTTCTTTCTGCAGATATAATCGTTCTGATTCCTATGCATACCATCAGGTGACATCCATGTGTTTAACTTGCATTTATTTCTCTTTAAGAATGTGTGTGCTATGAATAAGTCATTGATTGTGCAAATTTCAATCATTCTATCTCCAGCTCCATTTCTGTCACTGAGTCCATGTTTCCTGACTACTGATTCTTCTTCTCTGTTTCCAACGTTTGCATTCCTGTCACCCATTATTATCAATGCATCTTGATTGCATGTTCAATAGATCTTCAACTGTAAAAGTTGGTAGAAATCTGTTTCCTCTTCTTTGGCTCTGGTTGTTGGTGCATATATCTGAATGATAGTGGTATTCACTGGACTTCCTTGTATGTGTATGGATATTATCCTGTCACTCATAATGTTGTACCTCAAGACCAATCTAGAAATGGCTTTTCTAACTATGGAAGCAACTCCATTTTTCCTCACCTTTTCATCTCCGGAGTAGTATATCATATGATCATCCGACTCAGAATGCCCCATGCTGGTCCATCTCATTTCACCAATGTGTTCCATTTCCTCCTTAACAATATCTAATTTTCCTACATTCATGGTTCTCACATTCCATGTTTCAATCACCAGTGTCTCCTTACAACTGTTCTCTTCCTTTGTATTTCCATACTCAGTTGCCCTTTCTGTCATTCTATGTGTGTTCTATTGTACATAGGGATTTTTCAGAGGCCTACTATTTTGGAAGTGGAGTCTTTTAGTGAACTTGTTTTTGTTTTTGTTTTTTTTTCTAATCAATTGGAACTTGGTTGTGTTTTTTTTTTAAAGTCATCATTTAAAAGGCATTTCACAGCACAGGGTATGATTATGACATGATTCTAAGAACTTAAGTATTAAAAAGAAAAATTATTAGCTAAGTGGTAAAGCACTCTTGTGTCAATATGTTGTACTGAGGTAACCTGGGATTGCTGTGATGCTGAACCTTGTGCCATTAGGGTGCCATAACAATTACCCATGGTGGATAGTGTTTGGTGGAGCTTCCCATTTAAGACAGGTATGGAAGCAGGAGTGGCATCCACTTCCTAAACAACGTACTTCTGGAAATTCTATGAACTTTGATAAATGACAATAGTTATAAAAAAGCTTCAGGCCTTTTGTTCATAGAGTTGCTATGAGTTGTGATCGACTCAATGGCAATCAATAAAAACAACAACAACATAAATCACTTGGGAATTTTGATGGATTAGTGGTAAGGAGATGCATTGCGAACCCAAAGGTACATGGTTTGAATCCATAAGCTTCTCTACAGGAAAAAAGGCAGTCTCTTCCTGTTAGACTTACTGTCTCTGAAAACCTACTAGAGAGTCAGCTATGAGTCAGTTCCAACTCAATAGGATGACAATGACAACATATGTCACTTACGGTTATTCCTAGAGCAACTACACAGGAACCCTAAATTATAAAAAAAAAAGGTCCACAAAGTTTTCATCTCATCTAGCCAGTATGTATACTGAACAGTCAATGAGACAGAGGAGAAAACAAAAACAATCACAAAGATTTGTACAAAATGGTTATTTACATATTTAACAATGGTAATTATTATAATTCTATAAATCTTTGAAAATTAAGTTATTTTATACTTTAATATACTTTTGTGTTCTAAAGAATGACTCTGATAAAATTTCCATAGCAAATCTCAAAGTAAATTTTTAGTAAGGACATTCTATCATCTTTGTCATCTTGGCAGTCTTCTTTCTTTTACTTGTATGATTAAATATAGAAGAAAGAGTTTAGAGATTTAAACATTTAGAGATTTTAATCTTAAAAATTTTTTTTACATTCTCATCTTCTTGGTTAATCAACCCAACAAAATATATGTTATTATCCCAATTTATAGAAATGAAATTCAGAGAAGTTAAGTGATTACAAAGCCACTAAGCTAGTTTGCCATCCATAATGTATCTACTGCTGTCGTGGTTCATTATTTGGAAATTTTAAGTGGTTGAGTTATATGGTGTTACTTAATATTACAAATACTCTGCTAATCGTAATGGAGTAATAAGTTTTATAAATGGTTTATCCTTTAATAACAATTAAAATAATCTCATTTTGTTTCACTAACATTCCCATATGGTGTCTTGAGTGAAAGGCAACTTGAAATTGTTTATAACTTTTGATACTTCTAATTTCAACAAGTGAGTGTCATATAGCAAGATGTATTGACTAAAATTGAAGGATAACTACTTATAATATTCAAAATCTAATCACATATTAAAGTATATCACTCAACTCCCATATTGTTTACATATTTTATTGATTTGCTGCTTCTGCAGTTAAATAAAACTAGAGGGCTCAGACTTAAGAACAATAGAGTTTTAAAATAATGTTGCTCTTTTATTAAAATATTTTGTTATTAAACTGCATTTAATCTGTGGTCATATAAAAATAAAAATTTAAAATAAAAACTTAGAACTTTTTTAAAAATAAAAATTTGTCTTA